TCTCTCTCTCTCTCTCTCTCTCTCTCTTTTTTTTTTTTCTCTCTCTCTCTCTCCCTTCTCTCGCGCTCTCTCACACACACACACAACACACACACATACACACACCTGCTCCACAATCTAAAAACTAAGCATTTAATTTTTTAAAATGGCAGACACCATTGTCGTTGTTGTTGTTTCAGTTTTCAGTTAAATACTTAAGACTAGAATCCATCGACGTCATCACTTGTTACAACAACTGAGCCTGCTATGACGGCGTAAGTTACACTAAAGCCTTGCTTTGTGGCATTTACATCGGCTTGAACTACACTTTTTGGCACCATTACAGTTGCATCTTGTAAAGCCTTGTCCACCTGAAGAGGATTGAAAAATCACTGCCGAACCCAGTGAAACAATTTTTTCGGTGTTTATGTTGTCAGTGTTCAGAAGATCGAACTGATTTCTGGAATACAAACCAGATTTTACGGCTATCTTCTCGTCTGTCAATTATGACACCAAGTGTATTTCTAGGATCGCCTCTCCCTCGATCAACAAGTGGAACTGGCACACAAATGTTGTCTCTTTGTTTGCCAGCTGGCATATCTATGTTACAGTAAGAACACGTAGATCAATCTATTTAATACGCGTAATCACTGAATATTTCAGTGAAAACGCGCAATCCCTGTACAGTGGCGGGGCTATTACGTGAATTCACTGGATGCTCAGTACATATGTAGTAAAAACACGTAAAATGATAGGTCTAATTTTAGGGATTTTGCGTAATCACTAGAAATTTCAGTGATTACGAGAAACCCCTGAGTGAAACGGGGATTACGTGTATTCACTAAAATATTCAGTGATTACGCGTATTCACTAGGTACGTATTTTTACTGTAACATATATATGTAGCGACAGGAGAGAATAAGTTATGTGTTAGGCTCAGCTGTTCTGAGATATTGAGAAAAAGTTGGATTTTGTCAAGACTGTGTGTGTTTCTGACTCCCCAACTTCAACTGACTATAACTTTGGAACAAATGCAGCTAAATTTAAGATTTGTTTTCCACCCTGTTGTAGGGCATGAACAGATCTTTAATATGGTACACACAGTGCTGTTTTGTCAAAATGGGACTTGCGACTCATTTGTTCTTACACTTATACGTGTGTGTGTCTGTGTTTAGGCTGCCTGTATGCTATCGGTGGCTACAACGGGATGGAGCGTCTGGACACTGTGGAGGTCTATGAGCCCCTGAGTCATCGCTGGACCAGAGTGGCTGCCATGAACTGCAAACGCAGGTAGGTTGTTGTGGAAACCAGGTTTGTTTTATTTGTTTCTCCTGGGTTTTTTCTTTTTAATTCTTTTTCACTACCATGAGCCATGTTTCCCGGCTCACCACTTCCTGCTTTCAAACCACACCTACTTTTGTAATGATTGAATCTGAAATGTTAGGCTGTAGAATGATTGTTTGTAGCAGCATGGTGATAGGTCATTATTTCCCTTTATTTTCATATAAAATACACATGGCTAATATTGAAAATTGACCTCAAAATTTTTTATTTGTCCGACGGTAGGCTGAAACAGAAAGTAGGTCACAGATAGGGCCCGGTCCAGGTGAGGAAAACCCAGCGGTAGGGGAATAGTTAAAGGAAGCATAGGTAGGCTGGTGAGTATACTCGCAAATACAGTTTGATTGTTGGGTTAACACAGTTTACCTACTTTTACTTATTCCCTGTGGTCCGGACAAAGGCACTGACTAGAGGTCTCCATGCGTCTCAGTCCTGGGTCGGTTTCTCCAACTCAACAATTTTTGTGTTTTGTCTGCAAACCCAGGTAGCTTTTTGTTTCAACAGGGTTTTGTTTCACACTGCGCCTCCACCTCAACAGAGTTTGATTGTGTCAAGTGTTGGCAGTTCTGGGAAAATGTTTTGAAAATGCATGTTCAATTTTGATTTCGACTTCCAGTTGGTTGGAGGGTGCCACTGGTAGTCCAACTTCTTTCTTCCCTTCTCTTGTCGTGTCCATCTGTCTTGTTCTTTCCATTACTACATAACCATAAATATGCTTCTCTTTAACTCAGAATTGATTTCTTCTTGCACCTAGCACATATGTCTCAAGTGGGTTTTTTTTTTTTATAGTAGAGGGTTTTATGGCGCTCGCAACTGCATAAGGTCATATGAGCGCCATTCTCAAGTGTGTATAGTTGGCTTTCTGAAGTTCTATTTTTCCATGGTGGACCATGTGAATACAACACGATGACATCTGCCTGCAGTGTTTACAGGCTCTGAGTAAGGGATACTTTTTTCCCAGGCACAGGGATATTAAAAAAACAAATAAACCATAGAACAGTCAAACCTGCTCTAACGATGATTGTTTAGAACAGTCACCTTCACAAATGGTCACTTCCCACCTCCCCCTTTTTATTTTTTCTGTATTACAATGACATTGTTCAAAAGGACTACGTGTTTAAGATGACCACTTTTGTTCTTGTCAATGGGTGCTTGTCTTGGACAGGTTTGACTGTACTTTTGTTGATCCCCTTGGGGGAATTTGGGCACTGTGAAAGCATAAAAGTAAATTTGAATAAAGGTCACACCTGTGACACATGATACAACGTGTTGTGAAAAAGACAATACAAACACACCAAGGTTTTTTCTTTGTCTTTGATGACTCAAGTTCTTATACAGTTTTATCATACCTCGGGTGCTGAGTGATAGTAACACTGTCTCCACCCCTCCACCAAGGCAGTGCTACTTACTGAAGTTGTCTTTAGGCCATTCCCAAAGGGGGGATATTAACATGTTCTTATGCACAGTTGAATTGCTCATGGGCTGATTTATCAATGTCATGCTCAAACTGTGCTGTCACAACATAAGGGGAACTGTTGCCTTTTCTTTCTTCATCCTTATTATCGTAATTTTTTCCTCTACTTCTTTTGTATGTTTGTCACTCTCTTGTGAACTGCTATTTCCGGGGTGCCTTGATAGTCGAAACAGACTTTATGCTGTTGAGGCTAGAGAGGTGAGCAGAGTAAGCCTGATTCCCCGTTTGGACTTCTCTGTTGACATCCACCCCTTGCCGCTCATATGACCTTATGCAGTTGCGAGCGCCGTAAACCCTTACTACATGTAGTACTAAAAATACACTGTCTCGCGGGAACTCACTGGAACTAATAAAAATCCCTGTGTTGATTTGTGCTTTTTACTAATTGTAATCTTTGCTCACGATGATTTCTTTCTATTTCAGTGCCCTTGGTGCGGTAAGCCTAAACGGCCGAGTCATTGTGTGTGGTGGCTATGATGGCGTCACATCTCTACGCTCGTGTGAAACCTACGACCCCAGCACAAAGTTGTGAGTAACACCACCACTTACAACTTTTGTGTTTTAACTGTATAATGGGTGGTTGGAGGGTGCTGGTGGGAGGTCTTTCCTCTGCTCTACCCCTATATATTGTTTGTGCCCTGCTGTCTTGCTTTTCTCCTTTGCACTTAATGGCTACTATTGTATCACTGTGCTTCTCTTTACTCAACCTTTTACAGTGTTTCCCACCTCCTTGACTGTGTTTTCATTTCCAGTAGGACTTTGTTATGCTTTGTCTTATTCTCTCCCCCTTCTCATTGCTCCCTCTTTCTCTCCGTCTTTCTACTTTTATTTGTGCTTTTTATCCTAATCTTTAGCTGGAGTGAAGTTCACTAAAATCAAACATTGTAAATTTGAAAACAGTGAGAAAAAAAAGCTATTTCTCTGAAACAAAAACGCAGCTAAATTGAAGAAAATCCAGCATTCCCACAGATTTTGGTTTAAGTGTACTCCACTGTACTTCTTTTCTTGAGTTCATTTTATGTTTTATTTTGCACATTCTGTGAATTGTTCAAATTTTCAATCGAATTATGAAAATTCATTAGAAGTCCGGTCGAAATCCCAACCAATTAAACCCATCTGCCAGCATGAACATTTTCATTATTTATAAATTTTTTTTGGGTGTTTTATTGAGGTGAAAAAGATTTTCAGTACGTGTCATACTTTTGTTCGTATGGTTATTTGAATTATGGGAGTGCTTATTTGGGCCACATATGGCCTAAATAAGGTAAGGGAGGGGGGTTTAGCTTATTTAGGCCACACTGTGGCCCAAATAAGGTCACCCTTGAATTATATGGATAAAAATAAAATCGGAATTACTTGAGCCAGTGGTTTAGGAAGTGCATGAAGCAACCTCAAAGGCACAGTTTTTTTCCCTTTTTAATAGAATGATTGGGATCTAAGTCTTTAAGTCACTTACTAGACCATCTGGTATGCCTTGTTCAATATTGGAACTGTCTGAAACGAGCTGTTTTTTTATTTGCAGGCTGGACAATATGTAAGTTCAACCTAACATCGGGAAATGCTGAGCCCAGACCCAAAGAAAATGTGTTGTAACTCACCTCACAAAAAAATCTAGAAAAGCTACACTAAAAGATCAAGGGGAGCAACTATGGAATTAAACAGACATTAAATAGCATACTTCTCTTTCCACAACTGATGAAGAGACTGATCGCAAGTCGGTAAATAGTGTAAAAACTGTGAGATTCGGCATTTCTCGTATCTCAAGGCCAACTAACTCAAGTGTCGGTATCGGCAATCTGTGAGTTAAACCATGTAATTTGCAATTGTCTCATGTTGCCATGAATCAGGGGGCTCTCGTGTTCTAGAAGTTAAGGAGTTCGTCTCTCATTCAATAGGTCCTGGATTTGAATGCGAATAGCGACGGAAAATTTTCTTCTCTAAAATTTTCTCCTTTCACATCCTTTCCTGCTCTCTAACAATGTTTTGTCCTCTGCTTTCGTTTCCACTTTCTTGCCCCCACCTTTGGGCTCCTGACTCTTCTGCAGCTTTTCTACTGCTACTCCTTGGCTCCTTCTTACTGCTGCCTTTCAGCCACACCCCTGGTCTTATGGTTGGAAAGATCTACACCTAGCCTTCTTGGAAAGGGCGAAAAATCTCAGAGGTCCTGTGTGTGGAGGTTGCGCTTGTTAAGATCCCTTGGTGGTCCAAAATCAATAAGAGTAGGCTTCGGCTGCCACCCGTGCAAAATTCAAAATTTCCTACCAGCTGAAAATGTTAAGGTGTCCCACGTGCTTAAATGACTTTGTGCAGTTGCGAGCGCCGTAAAACGTACAAATCTTTTTTTTTTTTAAATGCCATGAATCTTGACTGGTGCCTCTACAAATAAATTGTTAATAGTTTGCCTTTCCTCCTTGTAATGGTTGGTTGGAGCGTGCTTCTGGCAGGTCCTACTTCTTTTTATTCCCTTTGTCTCCCCCCCCCCCCCCCCCAACCCTCAGAATGACTGTAATAGAGTCGATGTGCTTCTTTTTACTTAAACTGATCAACAAATAAACAAACCAACATTCAGTCCCATCTTGTCATGGTCTGATGTTCTATGTTTCAGGTGGTCGATGCTGAAGCCCATGCACAAACATCGTAGTGCAGCCGGAGTGACCATCTTACATGGGGAAGTGGTCGCTTGTGGCGGCCATGATGGATTGTCCATATTTGATTCAGTGAGTGGCTTCCCCTTATCTTTGTTCTTTTATTATCAAAAGAATAATACAGTTTGATGTTTATGGTGTGGTGACTAGGGGAGTTATGAACCAACTTTGAACAAAGAATTAACAGCCCATGTTTTATGTTTACTTCTGTATTCAGATAAGACTGTCATACGAAATATTTTGACAAGTCATTCTGCACTGAAAAGATGACTCTGTCAAAGGGGTCATGTTCTTGAAATCAGTCTGGAAGTTTGAAACAGATAAGAAGTAAGCATACGAAAGTATTGATAATATTCATATATCTCTCTCTCTCTCTCTCTCTCTCTCTCTCTCTCTCTCTCTCTCTCTCTCTCCCCTTCCCTCCCTCTCTCCGTCTCTCGCTCTCGCTCTTCCTTTATCTCTCCCTCTGTCTCCCTGTCTCTGGGACAGACGTTTGTGATAGATGGTTGCCTTATTTCTTTACAACTCTCTGTTTCTGACAGCTTTACTTTGTCTCCAGCAGTGAATATCTGTTACTGTGTGAATGTGCTTCTCTTTATAACAAAAAGTCTGTTGTAAAATGGTTACGCTATTTGTCTTTCTTAGAAAAGTGAGTTTTTGATTGCCCTTGGAGGAGAAACTGTTTCCAGTACGTCTGTTTTTCCCCTGGAATATGTATCCTACACATCTGTGGTTGGCCCTTAAAGGCAGGGGTGAAGCAGCCCACTGCGCCAGTAATATGCATTGTGTCAATGGAGTTGGAAACTATTTGCAATAGTGGATCGTTGGAGGGCACCATTGGCAGGTTCTACTTCTTTTCTCTCTCTCTGTTGTTTCTATCTGATCTATCTGTCTTACTTATTCCTGATCGTGAAATATACTTGATCTTGTCAATGTGCCTCTTTTTGCTCAAATAAGGCAACGATTTATGATGCAAAAGTACTGGCACTGATTGTTAATAACTTATTACTCCTCCAGGTTGAGTCCTACAGTCCCACCAAGGGTGAGTGGCAGATTCTTCCACTAATGAAATCCAAGCGTTGTCGCCTGGGCGTGGCCACCCTGAACGGCAAAGTGTATGCGGTGGGAGGCTATGATGGCTGTGTATTTCTGCGCTCAGTGGAACGTTACGACCCTGACTCTCAGACCTGGGAGCTAGTGGCTCCAATGCAGGTGAGGGGGAAAAATGTGTCGCAACGCGGTGGAATCAGGCGCTAATCAATTTTAGGTCATGTGGAGTTATTGGTATCATGTTAAAGCTTGTTCATTTGTTTTGCTTTCGATTAAAAAATATTCCTTTATCTTGGATATAAGACAAGATATTGGCGATTGAAGGAGGTGAGGGTCACTTGGTTTCTGAGGTAAAATTTTGCAAGAAAATGGCTGCCTAAGTTTAATTATTACCTTAGCTTGAGAGTCCGAGGAAACTGAAAATGTACATTTTTTGTGCCTTTCACAGTTTTTCAGTGAAAGCCGCACAAAAATGTGTTCTTTAATGGACGTGAAAGGTGCTGAGCCAAAAAATAAAAATTTGATGAGAATTTCCAATCCTGCGGGAAAATGCCATTTTCTTCACTTTCATTATTTTGATGAGCGCCTAATTTCACCACTCTGTCCCAAAAATGAAAAAGAGAAAAATAAAAATAACGTTAAAATATTCAGGACTTCATTTTGATAATAGTAGATAACGCATTATACAGGAAAGTGAGAGTAAAGTTGGCTACTGAGCTAGAATAATGTTTATGGTTTAAAAGAAATTCAAATGGAGTAGAGGGTGCTGCTTTTTATCCAAGGCAGATTTGAGGGTTTAGAGAGGCATCACCACAAGATGGACGAGAGGGTGGCAAATGACCTCCTGTGTGGAGAAATAAAGAATAGAGAGATGGAAAGGTTGGTTTTGTCAAAGAGCCTCTGGTGGCCTAACATATCTTTTCTTTCAGACTTCTAAAAAAGGTTAACAAGTTGTGCCCATCTTTTCACTTCAGAAAGAAACCAAAAGAATGGTTATATTAATTTTTTTCATTATTTTTCAGGTGAAGAGAAGCCGGGTGGCTGTCGCGGCAACCTACGGACGTTTGTACGCGATTGGAGGTTATGACGGTCAGAGCAACCTGAACTCTGTAGAGGTCTACGACCCCACAACCAATGAGTGGACGTTTGCCACCAACATGAGCGGCCATGAAGGCGGGGTCGGGGTCGGAGTTATACCCATGGACTCTTTCTCGGAAACCGAGGTCACGTTCGCGGCTTGAACGTTGTTGGCAAAGGTGTAAAAATAGCTTTGATGAAGACTGTCCTGCATCTTCTTTGACTGTTAATGTGTCCTGCATCACCTCTGATCAAAACTGTGGCTTGCGTCTCCTGTGACCACAACTTCATGCTCTGTCACCTTTGATGAAGACTGCATCCTGCGCCACCTTTGATCATGATCACAATCACATTGACCATGACTGTGTACGCAAAGGCCTTGACTAAACCTTTACCAAGATTGTGTTCTGTAGATCTTTGACAAAGACTGTCCTGGAAAGCCTTCAGTAAAGATGCTGTCCCGTAAAGTAATTTGTGGTAAGGGCTTCGGCAAAGACTACGTGTTGAATCTATGATGATGTATACTCCAGATATAGTCTACTCTTTTTCAAGAAGCTACAATTTTGTCTGCACCAAGCTCCAGGATTCTCTCCCTTGACTACATGTCTACACTTCACCTCAAGTACAGCTGACAGATTTTCTGAGATTGCCTTGTTTGGAGATTTTTTGTCTCTTCAAATTTTTTTCTGTGATCCCCCAACTGTGGATTAGTATTTGGCTCAATGAAACATGTTTGTCTTGTTCCTGACAGGCGGGGTGGCCCTGACAAGCAGGTTCGGAAGCCCTTCTCCTAAATGATCGAAACTATCGATGGGGGCGTAAAAATCCCTGAAGGTGGAAAAAAAAAAGTGTGCAGCGCCGGTCTCCATGAGTTGCCCGCATTAGGCTGATGTATTTGTTCTCAGTGTCACACAACCCCCCCGGGGCAGTGCCACTGACTGAAGTGTCTTTAGGCCATTCCCAAAGGGGGGACATTTCTCGGTCGAGCACAGTAGAATTGTAAATGGGCTGATTCATGTCACACTCATAACTGTGCCTGATCTACAACAGGGAACTGCTGCTTTTTCTTTCCTAAACCTTACTATAGTCATTTTCCCTGTCCGCCTGTCGAAACTGAGCACTTCTTTCTCAATGGGTGGGTGGTTGGCGGGTGCTCTGGTGTGGTTTGCTTCTTCTTTTCTATGAAAGATCTATCGTCCTTATCTCCCCTTCTTTTTTTTGTTTTTGTTTGTTACTCTCTTGTAACACGTCTAATCTTCTGGTGCTCATATGACCTTATGCAGTTGCGAGCGCCGTAAAACCTCTAAAACTAAAACTAACTTTCTCAGTGGAAATGTGCTATATAAATGCAATTTATTTATTATTATTACCTTGCACTTTATGACCATTATTGTTTTGATGTGCATCTTTTTACTCAAACTCACTCTGGCTGGTGGTTTTTCTGTATGACTGCATGTCAAGTGAAGGATAGTGTCTTGTGTCTTTGGTACCTATGTTTTTATCATTCATCTGGTTATTCACAGTTCCCGGTTGCCCATATGATGATTCACTTTTCCTATTCAGGCCTGATAGTGCTTACAAGACGCCGGCAATGTGCTCTCAACGGTGAAGAAACAATGTAGAAAACTAAATGACTGTCTGTTGAAATTGGCCGACTAAGCCAGCCCTGTAGTTTTCCGGTGATTGTCTCAGACTTGTTGACTCTTTTTCTTTTGATGAAGATGGACAGATTGCTGTAGCAGAATGTTCTCTAACACTTTAGTGTCAGGCTTAGGGAATTTGTCAAGAAGAAGAGCACTGATCATATGAGGTTTTTCTTGAGAAGTAATGTGAACGTTTTATTGTGTAACAATGGATGTAGTTTTTTTTAGACTTGGCTTTCATATGTAGAATCTTTTATTTTTAAACCACTTGTAAGTTTTTAGAGATTGGTCCTATTCATGTTACTGTGATGTTTTTTGGGCTCAGGTATGTGTGTGTGTATGTATGTGTTTGGGTGTATGTATGTGTGTGCATGTTTTTTAACTCATTCGCTACGCCGAGCCGTGGGAGGAGGCGCGGCTAAAGTGCCGTCAGTACACTAAGCCGCCCCCGGCGGATCGAGAACCGATCTTCAATTTTAGCTTAGATTCTATTCCAATCCACATATCCATGTTAAAATAAAGGTCATAATATAACGTTGACTTCCGGGTCAAGCATTTCCACTGAAAATCGGAAATTTAGATTCAGTTTTGAAACGCGATTTCGTAGTTTATTCGACTTCGTTTTACCGCGATGCCAAAATTATAGCTCGGACACCAGTCTTAGTAATTTTACACTACAAAATCTATCATTATTTTGCCCCCTAAAGAAATGTTGGACTCTTTTTTATAATATTGATACGATTGGACTCATATTGCCAATGCACTGTTATTGAGAAATCAATAATTTTGAGTGTTAGATCTAGGTCTAGATCTAAATTGTCAAAATATTTTTCTCCCCAAAATCACTACTTTTTGATGAAATTCTGAATAATTCCATACAAGGTACGAGTGGGGTTTTTTCTGTTTGTGATCGTTTTTTCAAGATTATAATTTTTTTTTTCTTTCAATATCGGATATTATGTTCAAAATGTACAAATATTATGGAATGTAGGTAAATAACTGCAAACTTTTCAATATTTTCCAGTTTTATATTTATTTATGGTTATTTTGATGTATCATTTGACTAGGTGCAAACATATTTTCTGAGTTTCAGCAAAAGATTATTAATTTTTTTTCTTCAAATTTTATCCGCATCCAATCAAAATTGTGTTGCATAATCGTCTCTTACAGGAACCAAAGTTAAAAAATACATAAATAAACATTACAGATGTATTCTACAAACCATACTGAAAATATTGGTATATAATATGTTGATATTTATTTGAATTTGTGGCCCCACAGACCTTTTAACTGCCCACTAGTCATCATCTCATTCGCCCTCCCGAAAAAAAATTCGTCCACAAGCCGAAAATAATACGTAGCGAATGAGTTAAATTTTGAAATCAGTGTTAGGATTCTAGAGATTAGTTCTATTTATCTTACATATGCTGAAGCACATGTGCATGAAATGCATACACTTGTTCATTATTTTTAAACCTCTTGTAATTAGATATACTTTTGGGACTTCATGAATCGAACTTGCCCCTTTCATTCTCATCTAATTCTTTTTTCCATTTAAGCTCCTAGTCATAACACATGTGTATGGGTGTGGCAATGTTTCAGAGATTTCTAATGGAACCGTCAGAGGGGAGTGATTAGAGTATGAAGTTTTGGAAGATAGGGTTCATTTTGTTGTCAACAAGAGACATGTTTCTCTCTTCACACCTGATGTGACCAACGCTCAGTATACAGACAACTGCTACCCATCTACTTGCTATTCTTGTACTCACAGAATGTGGTTGTGTCGTTGTTACAGACATTTCATTTCCCATTTTAACTGTTTGCTCAATATTTGCTCATGTATCTCAGTTGAAATGGTTACAAAAGTTGATGAGTGTAGTGTACTTTCTATTCAAGGAATGAAAAGTTGAAGGTTTGACCAGTATTCTAAGTATACATTGAATGTACCTACTTATGTCTATTTTGTCTCCACTAGTCTTACTGAACATTTTAAGTGACCAGTGAAATGAATATATCTATAGATATGTTTACAAAATTGTTTGTGATCAATCTGATGAGACGAATTGCTTCTCAGTGCAATAATATTTGCCTGATGGTAAAGGTGTATTTTTAGTTATCAATAGTCATTTATGGGAAAATTATCCTTTCCCTGTTTCTAAACATTTCTTTTTGTGCTCGATAGTTTGATGATGTCAGTTCTCCCAAGTGTATTACATAAGAAAAAATATTTCTTTTATGAGAGAAAATGCTAACTGGGAACCCCTACTCCCTCCTCCTTTCATTTGTATTTTTTTTAGTATGTATGTTTGTTATAATGTGTTTTTCTAATTAAAATTGTTAAAAAAATTTCTTTTCATGTATAAATCTATTATTTAAATGGCTGTGAATTTCGCTCTATATTTTATTTATTGTCAGGAACTGACTTTGTGCTACAATTGGAGCGGAATTTTTAGAAATGATTCTGATGGTGACAATCATAGGCTATGGACTTTGCTTTTAGAATGAAGTTGAATGTAATGATATGTGAAACATCCTGGTGAAATCAGATGCTCGTCAAAATAATGAAATCGAAGAAGTGGGCGTTTTTCCGCCCCCTTGGCAATCTTTATCCATTTTTTGTTTTTTGGCCCAACACTTTTTATGTCCATTAAAAACACATTTATGTGTGAATTTTACTGAAAAAAATTTGACTAAAAAATGTAAAATTACAGACGACCTCCGCCTCCTTCAATCGCAAATATTTGGATTTCTTTTAAAGATAGACGGATATTTTGTCATTGAAAGCAAGGCAAATAAATAAGCTTTAAGATAATACAAATAACTCCATAAGCCCAAAAATTGACGAGTGCTTGATTCCATGGTATGGTGACACATATTGATGAATGGTTTATAGTTTTGGACTACTTCTGTCTTTGTGGTTTGATGATGTTTCGAGCAAACAATTTCAAGTTTTTCAGATGCTGTGGGTTTGTCAAGTTTTGTTGAGCACATATCAATGGTAGGCTGCTAAGTCTATAGGCCTACCCAGTGATGTAAATGGAAGAAATAAGTCAGGTTTAAAAAAAATTGTTCTATAAGCATAGCTGAGGTTGATTTGCAGGTCATCATGAAAGGCAGGAGTCAGCAAGCACTTTAGATTATAGATACTACTCTGGGCGAACTTTTGTGTCATCTCTTGTCATTCAAATGAAAATTTGTTTTTTAAATTTTTTGTGTGTTGAAAAGTTTTCAAGTAACGGGTTACCGAGTTAAAGCATAACACCGTTGATGTGTATCAAGTTTTGATGACCACATATCCTCACTGTGATAAGATAATGGCCCCCAGGCAGTATGGAACCAGTATCATTGTTTTGAGCAGATAGCAAAAGGGTTCTGAATTTTTGTCTTTTTCCTGTCACAGGTCTCGATGATTTACAGTTGAGTACGCTTAAACCAAACACGTTTAATCTGAAAAACAGCAGTAAAGCAAAATAAAATAAAACCCTCAATTAAAAAAAAATCTATTTGAGTAACCTGTCTAAACCGAAAACCCAGCTAAACTGAAGAAAATCGGGCGTTCTGGCAGGTTTCAGTTTAAACAGACAACAATATATTTTTTTAATGTTTTGAAATAAGTGACAACATTTACACTATTTTGTAATGTGATGATAAGTGTTTGATTTTGGTTTTGGCCCATAAGGTAGCATGTTGACCACCATAGTCACACAGAGTGCATATTTTCTCCTCATTCAACCTCATACTCATTCATAATAAAAATGTTGACAATGTAGAAAGTTATTTTTTGCTGACACTGCTGACAGAAGACATGAGTTCAATTTTTGGGTGGGCACGTTATTTTATCAAGCAGAGCTACCTCTGTCAGTCTGTTGGAATGCTGTTTCCCACTCAGGCCAGATTGGCCTCTCACAGGCTAGGCCAAAATGACTCGCTTCCTTGATGGTTGAAACAATGGGTCCACAAAACAGTTCCAGTTGTTCCAGTCATCATCTGTCTGTCTTACTTTTCCCCAGCACTATCATATAATACAGTGGAGGCTTCTTTAACCAAAATCTGTGGGACCGTTGGATTTTGTCAGTGAAGAGAGGTTGCTCAAATTATAGTGAAGACAAACATTGAGGATTCTGGGTTTTTTCAGTTGACTGCTGTTTTTCGATAAACCATGTTGGGTTTATGTGGACTCTGCCATACAACAGT